CTGGCTCGTTACGACTACGACCATCATCGTCGACGCTGCCAATGCTGTCGCCTCTGGGTCCGTTCGTCAGTCCGCGCGACGCTTCTTTGGGGGTCGTTTTTGAGCACCCGTGGATCCTCGCGAGGCCTCCCTGGAGGCTTTCTCGGGTGAGGTCTACGCCGGAGGCCCCCCGTTGCATTCCATTGAATTCAATTATTTCCTAACTCTTCCGCATGCCCCCCCACTCCTTTCCAGTCCTCGCCAGTCCCTTGCCGTCGTTCGCACCCCTCCGCACTCCGCCCAAAAAAACTCCGAAACCTCCCATTCCTCCACGCCCCTTCCGCACTCTTTCCAAAAACTTTGGAACCCTCCAACTCCTCCACACCCTTCCGCACTCCCCCCGAAACCTTTGCAACCGCCCCACTCCCCCCTACTCCTCCGCACTCCTCCCGAACCTTCCGCAACCGCCCCAGTCCTCCGCACCCCTCCGCACTCTTCCCGGAACCTCCGCAATCCTGCCATTCTCTCCACCCCTCCGCAATCTTCCCGAACATCCGCATTTCTCCCATTCCTCCACGCCCCCCCGCATTCCTCCCGAAACCTCCGCAACCATCCCATTCCACATTCCTCCGCACTCCTCCCGAAAGCTCCAGAGCCCTTCCAATTTTCTCCGCCCCTCTGCACTTCTCCCAGGACCTCCGCAACCCTACCATTCCTCCACACCCCTCTGCATTCCTCCCGAAACCTCCGCAACCCTCCCATTCCTCCACATTCCTCCACATTCCTCCGCACTCCTCCCGAAAGCTCCAGAGCCCTTCCAATTCTCTCCGCCCCTCCGCACTCCTCCCGAAACCTCCGCAACCCGTCCCATTCCCCCCCACCCTCCGCACTCCTCCCAAACCTTCTGCAACCGTCCCAGTCCTCCACACCCCTCCGAACTCTTCCCAGAACTTCCGTAATCCTGCCATTCTCTCCACCCCTCCGCAATCTTCTTGAACATCCGCAACTCTCCCATTCCTCCACGCCCCTCCGCATTCCTCCCGAAACCTCTTCAACCCTCCCATTCCTCCACATTTCTCCGTACTCCACAACCCTTTTATCCTTCCACACCCCTCCGCACTCCTCCCGAACATCCGCAACTCCCCCAGTCCTCCAGACCCCACCGCACTCCTCCCGAAACTTCAGAAACCCTCCCTTTCCTCCACATCCTTCCGCACTCCTCCCGAAACCTCCGGAGCCCTTCAATGTCTCCCCAGTCCTCCGCACTCCTCCCGGGACCTCCGCAACCCTGCCATGCCGCCACACCCCTCCGCACTCCTCCCGAAACTTCCGCAACCCTCTCATGCCTCCACATCCCCTCGCACTCCTCCCAAACCTTGTGACACCGTCCCATTCCTCCCCACTCCGCACACCTCCCAACAGAGACCTCCGCAACCCTCGCATTCCTCCACGCCCTTCCGCACTCCTCCCAACACCTCCGCAACCTTTTTATTCCACATCCCTCCGCACTCCTCCCAAATCTTCTGCAACCGTGCCATTCCTCCCCACCCCTTCCGCACTCCTCCCGAAAGAGATTTCCTCAACCCTCCCATTCCTCCCCACCCATCCGCATTCCCCCCTAAACCTCCGCAACACTCCCAGTCCTCCCCACGCCTCCGCACTCCTTCCAAACCTCCCACAATCGTCCCATTACCCCTCAATCCTCCGCACTCCTCCCAATCCTCTGGGATTCTCCCGTTCCTCCAGACCCCTCCGCACTGAAACGTCTCACCCCTTGCCCCAGCGTCTTACCCCCAGGAGCGGAACCTCCATCTTCCTCCTCTTCTTTCTCCTCGTTCTCCTCTCCCTCCTCCCTCCGTTCCTCATTCCACATTGAGGGTTGTGGGTGATGATAATGATGATGCTGATGCTCATGCTCATGCTCATGCTGATGCTGATGCTGATGCATCATCATCATCATCATCAGCATCAGCATCAGCATCAGCATCAGCATCATCATCAGCATCATCATCATCATAATCATCAGCATGATGAACACGATCACGATCACTGATGATGATGGTGATGATGATGGTGATGATGGTGATGATGATGACGATGATGATGATGGTGATGGTGGTGGTGATGGTGGTGATGATGGTGATGATGATGACGATGACGATGACAATGATGGTAGAGATGATGATGATGATGATGATGATGATGATGATGATGATGATGATGATGATGATGATGATGATGATGGTGATGGTGATGGTGATGGTGATGGTGATGGTGATGGTGATGGTGATGGTGATGGTGATGATGATGATGATTATTAATATGATAGTGGAGATGATGTCACCGATGATGGCGATGATGATTATAATGCTGACGTGTGTGGCATCTGCACGGCCTTCTGCTCTCCCTCATCCCTACTCCCACCTGCAAAACAAGATGGGGGACCTCCCACCGCCCCTGCCCTTGCACGAACAGCACTCTCGCCCCCCGACAGGGCCCCACCCCAAAATTGGATGGGGGGGACGACGACGCCGACTTCGATGCCGACGCCAACGCCGACGCCGACGCCGACGCCGACGCCGACGCCGACGCCGACGCCGACGCCGACGCCGACTCCGACGCCGACGCCGACACCGACGACGACGACGACGACGACGACGACGACGACGACGCCGACGCCGACGACGACGACGACGACGACGACGATGACTACGACGACGACGACGACGACGACGACGACGACGACGACGACGACGAAGCCACCGCCGACGACAACGACGACGACGACGACGACGGCGGCGGCGACGACGACGACGACGATGACGAACTACCCCACACCCACAGGGGGAGAGGGGGGGTGCACTGGCACCCCCTCCACCACGCCACGCTCATAAGGTCACGACCACAGGGCGGGAGCTAACATATTTGAAAGAGGGTGCACCGGTGCCCGGCGCCGTGCTTCTGCAGCAGTCCTCGGCGGGCTTATTCTGGACGACATGTCGTTGCCTTTTGCGGGGTCGGCTCGGCTTGTCGTCCTCCCAGGCTTTGCAGCATGAGGGAAGAGTTATGTCGGGCGTGTCCCTCTACAGGAGGATTTTCGACGAAAAATGCAAAATACCCCAAAAATAATCAAAAAAAAGTCAAAAAAATAGTCTGGGGACTATTTTTAAATGATTGTGTTGACCTTTTTGGGGTATTTTGGGGGTATTTTTTTTAATTCGTCGAAAATCTGCCGCAGGACCAAACAAGATGCCGAGATACTTCTTGGCGAGGCCAGCAATTCAACACTTCCAACATGTCAGTTCTTTAATCTCCATTCCTCCCTCCTTTCCAAAGAGCCCCGGCTTTTTCATAAGCTGCTTCGGTTGCCCCCGAATTCGTTCAAACGAGCCAGGTTGTTGTCTTCGAATGCCCGGATCCATGGTCCTGGCCCAGCGTCGATGGCTGTTCTTGCCTGCGCATTGGCGTTGAGGTTGGCGGCCCACACTTATGACTCCAGGGTTAGGCAACTCTCTTTCGAGTTAGGGGAATCTGCAGCATGGAACGGGCCGCTGGTCAGATTCATTCGCCAGGGATGGAGCCCTCCGTGTTGGCAGCGGCAGCAGAGTATCGCACACTTCCTCGCTTCGGTCTTGGACTGTGTGCCGCGCTATTCGCTTCGCTTGGACCAGTTTCGCGCTGCCGTTTCTGCGGGAAAGGGGAATTAGCCGCCGTTGCGGTTGCCTCTCGCCGCCCGAGGCCCCAGCGTGCGTTCGCCCAGGCCCTCACCCGCCTCGGCTTCCCCGATGATCTCCCCCTTCTCTTCCTTCGAAGGTTGAGGGCCTGGCTCCCCGAGGTGCCCCTTCCCCCGCTCGGCGACATGGCCCATCGTTGGGCCTTGCTCTGTGGTGTGCTCTCCCCGTCCAAGCCCAGCTGGGCTTGGGCCCACGTTGAGACTCTCGCAGGGGGATTGGTCACCTCAGGGCGTATGCCCGTTCTGGGCCAGCGCCGCTGCCTGTTAGGGTGCGAGGATGGTCTCGATCGGTGGCCTCATTACCTGGCCTGCCTACGTCTCCTCCACCTCCTTGCCCGTCCGAGGCTCTTCCTCCCCTCTTGCCCCCCTGGCCCGTCTCGGCCTTGGCCTCGATTCAGATTATGATTCGCAGGTCGCCCGAGAGACCGCTCATCGCCTAATCGTGCTAAGTTTTCACATTTACCATAAGCTCAAGGCAGAGCATGAGCCTCGCCTTTCCGTTGTGGTGACCTTGAGGCTCACCTTGGGCTTTTGCGTGCCACGAAGCTGGCCATCAGCGCCACTCGGTAACGTAACCCTGCCCTCATGAGTTGCGTGCATTCCTCCTCCTCCTCCCGGAGTCGGGGACCCGTTTCCCTCAGGACCCCTCTCTTTCATGGCAGGCTCTCCAGCAAGATCCCACGATGCCCAGGCGTGCCACGCAGAGCTGTCCGTGCTCCCGAGGCCCAAGGCAGGCTGCACGTAGCAGTGCCCCTGCGCTGGAGTGGCCTTTTGTGCGGGTCCATTGGGACCCCCCGGTCGCTGAAGGCGATGCGACAGCAGCGGCTTGCGCGCCTGGGCTTGGCATCCTCCCAGAGCCGCGCACCAAAGGTCACGCTTGCCCGGGGACCTTCCTGCATGGTAGCCGACGAGACGGCTCTCGAGGGGCTCAGCCTGCCTCACCCCAGCCTCCACCCCTAGAAGACTGATGACCACCTCGGGCTTGCCCCTGGGCTGGGGCATCTCGATCCGATCGGTCCGAGTTGATGCCAATTCTGGCCGACCCGGTCAGATTCGATTCTGGTACTCCGACGAGTCGGTGCGGCCCAGCGCTTGCATGGCGTTGTTGTGCATCATCGCTCCGATTTCGACTCCGTGCCGATGCAGCCCGATCCAATACACGTGTCGATTCGATCCCATTCACCAAGCCGGTGTTGACTGATCCTGATCTGGGGTCACCGTCGTGGGGCTTCGCCCGCTTGCCTGTTCAGTGGTTCGTCGACCCTTGCACCCGCGGCCCGCGTGGAAGGAGCTCCAGCTCGACCTGGAGGACGCAGAGGGGTGCGCACAGCACGCCTTCGAACGCCCCGGCAGCAGCGAGGCCTTCGCCGTCTTTGATTCAGTCGGCGCCGAGGACATCGCTTGGCGCCGAGCTCAGACGAGAGCCCAAGAGAGAGGGAGAGACGCAGGAAAACAAAAAACAACACGACACACACACACACACACACACACTTAGTTTCGCGGCCGGTTGGTCGAATGCAGCGACGGCAATAGCGGGATGCGCCAAGCTGATTACCGTTGAGCCGATGGGGGGTCAACCGACAAGCAGACGACGGATGCAGGGAAGAGGTGTTGAAGGCCGCGCACGCGAGGCAGTGGCGTGCGAAGAAATCCCAAAGATTGGATGCGTGAGGAACCCGCACACACACACACACCACCACCACCACCACCACCACCACCACCACCAACAACAACAACAACAGCAACAACAACAATGAGTGGTAGGCTGCTCGCTCTTCGCTGCTCGCGTGGCGTGCGCCATGCCACGTGTACCCCGAGCCCCCGATGCCCGCCCTCTCTCGTCTTCGATCGTACCCCTTTTGGGGGGGCAGAGCCTCCCTGCCTGCCACGTGCAGTTGGCGCGGCCCCGCACCATGGGACGAGAAGGAGGAGGAGGAGGAGGAGGAGGAGGAGGGAAGAGGAAAAAGGGAGAGAGTGAGGAGAGGAGGAGGAAACGAGAGGGGAGGGGGGCAAGAGGAAGGGAGGATGACTGAGGGCGAAGAAGAGGAAGGGAGGAACTTCCTCCCCCGTCTTCCGAAGAAGGGGGAGGGAGGAGGAAGGGAGGGGAAGGTGATTAAGGGGGGAGAAGAGGAAGGGAGAGAGGGAAGAGGAAGGGGGAGGAAGGGAGGATGATTGAGGGGGAAGTAAAGGAAGGGAGGAAGGGTGACGGAGGGGGGCAAGAGGAAGGGAGGAGGAGGGAGGGAGGAGGGGGAGGAGAGAGGAGCAGTAATTGTGGCAAGCAGGCCTTTACGGCCAGGTCGTGCGGGCCGGCCCTAACTGGCGGGTCGGGCGGGCGGACCCTAACGGGCGGACCAGCCGGGCAGGGTATCGAGGCGGGCAGAAGGGCTTGCAAGCACTCGGATGGGCGGACCCTGACGGGCAGGTCGGGCTGGGAATTTCTTGGGGCCCTCTGGGGCTGTCTGGGGGTCCCGCGGGCTCCCAGGGCGCTCTTGGGCATCCTTGAGACGATGGACCGAGAAATCCCCGAAAAGCTCGGTCGAACCATCTTGGAGCTGTATGGGCGCATCCCATGGTGGTCTTGGACAGTTCATGGGGCCACCTGTGGGGTCGATTGAGGCCGTTCGGGCGGCTTCTTGAAGCCATCTAGGGCTGCTTTGGGGTGCCTTGAAGCTTTTGTGAAGCCATGTCAGGCCGAAAAGTACGGGAATCAAAACACAGATTGGAAAAACTCGAGGTGTTTGTTTGCGGTTTCCCAAGCATTGTTGGACGTCTCCTTGGGAAACTTTTTGGGCGCTGGGTGAGATCTCGGAGCCCCTTGAGGTTTTAGGGGGCCAGTCTTTGGGCATCTTGCAGCCTTGTTGGGCCGGTCTTTGGGCATCTCGCAGCCTTATTGGGGCGATTTTGAGATGTCTTGGGGGCTATTGGGGCCGTAAAGAGCGCCAGGGAGGAAGACGCAGGACGCGGTTTTCAAATCATGGTTGCGGGGGGTCGCCCTTGGAAGATTGCAGAACCCCACAAGACAGCTAACAGGAATTGTGATGCGCCACGGCATGATGGTGGATTCCGCCCTGATCTTTGCCGTGATAGCTGCATCTAAGTGTTACGAGGGCCTCCTGCTGTCGCTGTGCCACTTTCAGCCAGTTTTTGCAATGCCGTCCTCTACAGAAGAGTTGCGCTACTTTTGCCTGATTGCCGGGCTGCCTAAGGTGACCTGGGCAGCTCCTGTGAGCGGGCGTTTTCTGCGCGCGTGCCTCGTCTCATTAGACATTTCATGTCTTGGCACGTTGGCGGTCGAAGAGGCTCGGCACTCGTTCACGACCCGTTGTGACTGTATGTACTCGCTCACGTGCAACACTGCGGCAGCTCAGAGACATTTAGCACGCGAAGATGCGTTGGTATCAGCCACAGCCACGTTGCCACGCGCGTCACGAAGGCAGGTGGTGGGCGTGCACTGCGCAAAGGCCTCGTTGCGAGAAGCCGGTGCGCCCACCGAGGCGTCCGAAGAAAAAGCCGGGAGCGCTCGCAGGGAACTGTGTGTTGCACGACGTCGCCGCATGCCCATCTCCGTGTCTCTTGCACGTTCCGAGTTTGCCATGTTGGCACGCAGGTCGTCAAAGTGTTCACCCGCAGTCATAGACTTGCGTAACTACATGTTTGAGAAGAGCGTGTTGGAACGATGGCCCGCCCTGTCACATGTCCCGCCTGCTGCCGCTTATTCCCATGTGTGTCAATGTTGTCATGCATGTTGGGCGTGATTTTTCCCATCCTACTCCTCCTCCCTTGTCCTCCTGTGCTCCCCCCGCTTCCTTCACTCGATTCGGTTGCGAACAGTCTCGCCCCACGCACTGCGAGGTAATATCCTCACTTCTCTGCTTCGCGATGTGAGGAAAATATGGTTCTGCATGCTGCCAGCTGCTCCCACTTGCCTCCTCTTGTTTCCACTGCTTGGGGTCCACACGCTGGTATCAGTCACCAGGCTCTACGCTAATGCCTCTTCTGTCCTTGCCAAGGCATCGTTCAAGGGTTACTGTTAATGTGATATGAAGGCCGAGTCTCGCTATTATTGACGACCTTCGGCCCATCAAGCTACCGTGACTGGGTCACAGGTGTTGGGGGCCTCTTGGGGGCCTTCTGAAGGCTACTGTGTAGCCTCGTGGGGCGTTTTGGCAGTCTCTTGGGTGCACTTTGGGAGTATGTTCGGCATCATTTCGCCGCCTCGGAACGGCTGGGGGGCTTTGGAGACTCCTCTTGGGCTGTCTTGGAGTCCTCATGCGCTGCCTTAAACTCCCCCCGATGCTGCCGTAAGCTGAGGTAGAAGTTGTTTGGTGTTGTTGTTTGTCATGTTGGGTAGTTCTTGGAGCTCTCTTGCGCGGTCTTGGAGCTGCCTGAAGCCATCTTGAAGCAGTGTTTGGTCGAGAAGCCGGACAGGCGACACATATTCAGGCAATCAGTGCGATGTTGACAAGTTTGGTTGTTTGCTGTCCTTCTTGGAGCGTAGCTGAGTCTCGCTTGGAGGCGGTTCTGGGCCTCCTGAGGTCCTTGGGACATCTCGCAACCTCGACGACATCCTGTGTATTGTTGAACGCTTCTTGGGGGACTCTTTGGGGATATTGGAGTCGTGTTGGACAGGCTCAGCTTCCAGAGGGCCCACGCGACATACCCCAAGAGCACCCGAGAGCGCCCGAAATTTCTGGTAAACCAGTGGGTGGCTCACAAATCCAACAACTCCCTGAACATTGACAAATGTATGAGCCTTGGGGTGCTCCGCTACGTGCTGAAGGCGCGGTAGCTGATCCCAGGGCCAGGAGTCACAAGAAGTCAAGCTCACGCAGGAACGAGCAGTAACGGCAGGCAAGCAGGATGGACGAGTGACTACAGTTGTTTCCTTTATCGTTCTCCTTTTTTCCAGCGGTTTGCAGGCCCTTGTGCTCAGCAGAGTTATGTTTGTGGTCGGGAAGGGACGCTCGGCTTTGCGATGTCGGGCCAGGAGGCGTGCGTACGCCCAGCATCCATTTATCACACCGACTTGCGTGGGGAGAAGACGAATGTTTTGTTCACACGGAGAAAGGCAGCAGGGTAAGTGTTCGTGATGGTGGGACGGTTGACCAAGAGAAGCACACATTGTGTTTGTGCCTCATCAGTTCGGGATGTTCACGCTTGGCCGCAATTGCACTACATCGTTGGAAAATGAGAGCGTAGCTTTGTGTTTTCAGTGCGGGCTGCGCCCATCTGCTTCGAAGTCGATGGCAGAGGAAACGAATTCGAGCGGCGTGAAACGACGCTAGCGAACGATCGAAAGTGCAACCAGCATGCCGACAGGGTGGGGGGCAACAGACAAAAGAGAGGATAAGACGCCAGCTCCGCAAGACGAGTTCCCATCAAGCGTTGGTTGCCCCGTTTTGTCGTGATACCTGCTCAAGAGGCCCACTGTGCTGGCTGCTGCCTCCAGGCGGGGAGTCTTAAAAGCGTGCACCACAGTGACAATCGCCGCTTGGAGCCCTCGACAAAGTATGCCAAGGGTCACCAGTGTTCATTATCTGGAAGAGAAGGGCAGCTCCAAACCGCCATGTAGGCTGATGAGAAAGCGCTACCTCTTCGACCTCCTGGAAGCCTCCCCTTCGGCGAATGAAGACCTCCCCACCTTTCAGGGTAGCGGGGGGCATTTTTGCCCTCTTCACCCCAACAATGCTTCAGAATGAATGCTCTGGCGTCTTGGGGCCCTGGAATTGCACACGGGTGCTTTTGCAAATCGTGGTGAGTCCATGTGTGAATGGGATCCATGGTGTTCGGTAGCAATACATGGGAGCCATGCATGTCCTCGAAGTTCCGCGTTTAGGGTGCATTAGCGCGCGCTAACGTCTGATAATCGATCATAAAGCGCCGATTTAGCGTCGATTCAGCGCCGATTAGCGCCGGTCCGTGTCAATCCGCACGAGCAAGCAAGAAGACATGGGAGGTTCCCGTGGGCTGCCACAGAGTATGGTGCTCCCAGCACCTCGGGACCGAGAAGCCATGCGCCATCTCGTAGCCAGAAGTGCATGGCGCGTGGTTTAACCCTGCCCTTTGGCCCCCCTCCCCGAGCGTTTCCAAAGCAGTGCTCCGCGACCCGCAGTTGACGGCAGACGTGGCCAGGCAGCCGCCAGAGCAGCGGGCAGCACCGCTGCTGGCGCCCCCTCCCGTCGCCCGGGACCGGGCTGCCCCGCGTGCTTCTGCGTCACAAACTCCATGCGCGGGGCGTCAATCGCAAGACCACGAGCGATTCATTTGACAGATGCGAGAGAGAGAGATATGGCCCGTGCGCTTGCCATCACCACTACAGCGGGATTCGGCTAGCAGCCAATATTGTGAATGAATGGCGTTCGGTCTATGTTTTCACTGTTCTTACACTGCTGTACGTATTGCTGCATGCTTTTTAATTTACGGACGATGAATGTTATTAACGAGTGTCTCTGATGTATGTTAGTGGCGTATGTTCTCAATGCGTGGTTTTGATGCCTATTCTTGGCATGTTATCGTTGCCATTGCTCCTGGCATGTGATCCTGGTGTATGCTTCAACCGTGTGTAACTGATGTCAGTGTGTTAGGCATTCGCTATCAATGTGTGTTATTTAGTGGTGCGTGTTAGTAGTGCCTGATCTTAGCTCATCCCGCCGGCCTATACTGCACCACTGTTGCTATATGTTGTTGTGCCCATATCCCTGCGAGACGGTGGATAGGGGACTCGATAGTGGAAGAGGAGAGGAAGGAGGAGGAGGAGGAGGAGGAGGAGGAAGAGGAGGAGGGAGGAGGAGGAGGAGGAGAGGAGGAGGAGGGGGAGGGAGGGGGGAGGAGGGGGAGGAGGAGGAGGAGGAGGAGGAGAGGAGGAGGAGGAGGAGGAGGAGGAGGAGCAGGAGCAGGAGGAGGGGGAGGAGCAGGAGCAGGAGCAGGAGGAGGAGGAGGAGGCCTCTCGACGGCCTCTCTGGGCACTGTGGGGACCAATGGGTCGCGGACAAGACGTCTCTTTGGAAGGCGTCTTGGGGTTTCTTGGGAAGCCTCTCGGGGTCCTCGTGGCGGCATTTTTGGATCCTCATGGGGCTTCGTGGGGAGCCTGTGAGGACCCTTTTGGGTTTCTGGGGGCCTCTTGAGGGCTTATTGGGGGCCTGCTGGCGGTCTGGGGGGCCAAATTTCAGGCAAGGCTCGATACATCTGTTCGGGTTTCCCATCTTGGAGCCCTCATGGAAGCCTCCGGAGCCCTCTGGGGAGGCCTCTTTGACCGTCTTGGGGCCTTCTTGGGCTGTCTTGGGGCCGTCCTGGGGGCCTCTTGGGTTGACTTGGGGCTTGAAGGCTTCTTGGGCCGTCCTGGGCGGTCAGAAGCTTCAAAAGGCGGTCCCGCCAAAATCGATCAGAAACCGTTTCGGGCCCTCCGAAGGTCATCTTGGAGCCCTCCGTGGGGCGTCGTGGGCGCCTCTTGGGCCGTCTTGAGACGAACTTGGACCATCTTGGAACGTTCTCGGCTTGAGGCCGTTGGGCCTACCGCCTATTTGGCGCCTCCGTGGGGCGCTCCCTGGGCCCCTAGGGCCGCGTCCAGGAGTTCCAGCATCCGTGACCCAGACCTGCCAGGCACTTGCCGGAACGTTGCCCCGGTATCTTTCATTTGGGAACGCCCAGTGGCCGCCACGCGCGCGCGAATTAGAAACATGATACAATTCATATTGAAGATTTCAGCACGCCTCTGGCCCGTTGGGCCGGCGAACGGATGTGTAATTGATGTATGTCATGGACTTGTGGGCTTGATGTACGTGTTGGTGTATGAGGTCGATGTGTTGGTACTTGGTTAGGGTGCATGCTGCGGGCGCATGCTTGTTTGGATTGTTCTTGTTGAACGATGTTGGTAAATTGTATCGACGCATATGTAGGGCGCATGCTCATGCTATATGGTATTGGTGTACGTCAACTTCAACGGTTAGTGATACTGGTGTGCGCTTCTGACTTGCGCTGTTGATGGATCGTGTTGGCATGTGTTGGTGATGCGAGTAATTGTTGTTGCTAGTGGTGCACCTTATTGCTTCATGGTTGTTCCTGAGTGCGGTTCGTTATTGTCCAGTTCGTATGCGATTAGCGCATGAGTTCTGCACATATCATTGACTCATGTCTTGGGAGTCTGCTACCGATAAAGGCGTTCGGTGCATGTTATTGGCGTTCGTTAATGATGTGTGCTATTGGTGTATATT